TGGCTATCAACGAACCCTTCATCGACGTCAAATACATGGCATACATGTTGAAGTATGATTCAACACATGGAAGTTTTAAGGGCAAAATTTCCATGGACGGTAAAAACTTGAAGATTAATGATCACTCCATTCAAGTTATGGCGGAAAAGGATCCGTCCAAAATCAAGTGGGGCGATGCGGGTGTCAAATATGTGCTTGAATGCACTGGAAAATTCAATTCGGCCGAGAAGGCGAGTGCACATCTAAAAGGCGGAGCTAAAAAGGTAATTGTCTCAGCACCCGTTTCCGATGCGCCCATGTTTGTTGTGGGTGTCAACTTGGACTCTTACAAACCCGAAATGAAAGTAATATCGAATGCGTCCTGCACAACAAATTGCCTAGCGCCATTGGCCAAAGTAATACATGACAATTTTGAGATATGTAATGGACTAATGACCACTGTGCATGCGGTAACTTCGTCACAGAAATGTGTTGACGCACCGTCGCCGAAGAAGTGGCGTAGCGGTCGAGGTGCACTACAAAACATTATACCCGCATCAACAGGCGCTGCTAAGGCTGTGGGAAAAGTGATACCCGCATTGAATGGGAAATTGACGGGTATGGCATTTCGTGTGCCCATTGCCGACGTATCCGTGGTCGATCTGACGGTTAGTTTGGGCAATCCAACATCACTCGACTGCATTAAAGAGAAAATTAAAGAAGCTGCCAAAGGTTCGATGAAGGGCATACTCGGTTATACAGAAGATGAAATTGTGTCCTCCGACATTATTAACGACGCGCATTCCTCAATTTTTGACGCGAAGGCTAGCATAGCATTGACAGAGACATTTTACAAGTTGATTTCTTGGTATGACAACGAGTATGGCTATTCGTCGCGAATGATTGATTTGGTTAAACATGTGCAGAAGGCCGACAAGAATGGTGGAGATGGTAAAGGAGGTAAAGATAAGAAATGCTAACTGAATAAAATAGACGGCGAAGAAAAAATAAATGAGTAAAAGCAAAAATTGTTTCGAAGGAAACGAGAACGTTAATAAGGCTTTTAAAATTTGTTTGAATTAAATATTTGAGATTTATCAACGGAAGTATGTTTCTTTTATTTAAAGTCTGATGGGTGGACGGACGTAAAATCCGCATTTCGCAAATTCGAAACTTGCTCTACATACTTATCGTAAGCCCATCCGGCAAGTCTTCGTTAAGTTGTTAAATCTGCTTTAAATATCTGACTGTTTCTGAAAACCCGTCGGGACGTGCATCAATTGCACAAATATTTAATTACGCTTTTTTGTTAAAAAAGTATTTGGTTTATTTACCACGGTACGATAAAACAATGCACTCTATACATACACCAGTGGGCTACTCCAGTTTATTCATCTCAGTATGGCCTTACTTTCGATTGTGTCGCATGCGTTAATATCCAAGTATTCTTTTCACGCTTCTTCATAGCCATTTGTTTATGTCGCGGGTGAGTGGGACAGATTACATAGGCACGCTGTTGCCGCACCACAAAGTAGCAATCTTTGCACCGACGACGCAAGCGACCTTTAACCTTAAAACCAGCCACTTGTGTTAAGAGTGAAGTAAAAGGTGTTAGCAAACGCTGTTGGCCCACTTCGGCGGACACTGCAGCTACATTTGTGGGCACAATAGCATTGCTAGTGGCAGCCAAACGATCTGCTCCTAACGTACGACAGTTCGCCATTATGTGATAACTTCGATCGTTTGCGATGGTTGCTGGCGCTTTCCCAGAGAAAGCGGCGTTTAGCAACCCCAGTCCACTTTTGTATACATGGCTTCCGAATTTTGTAAGAAATGACATCTGTGTAAAAGGGGTGTTTTGAGAATTTTTATTAATATTTCAAACTCAATTTATTACCTTCGAGTTGTCTAGCCCCTAGAATTTCTGGATAAGCAGCTGGAATTTATTGGTTCATCAGCTGTTTTCTTTACCAGTTCTTACAGTTCATAGCGACATCTTG